AGGCGAAACTTTTGATTGATATTGTAGCGATAATATATTCATAAAAATATTAATATATTCATTCTTATACACAGAGTGGACCAGTAACTTTGTCCACCTGGAATATTTTCGCTATTTTTAAAGATACAAAAATAGCGTACAAAGTGTTTCCGACATATACGTATACATCATTGTCGGGTTGCCTATCTGCTTATACCGATAGGGGCATGCTTATTTATAGATAAATTCTACTATATGATTTATTATATTTACTAAAAATTTATTATATGACTTATAAATATTATATTATATTTATAGACATATATTAAAGTATACATATATCAAAATTTGATTATTAAATTTTACTTGTGTTATTTTATCTATAATGAAAAGATATAGGGTATTCATGTGTGTATGGACAAACTTAATAGTAATTCCTTATTAAATACTTATCAAATATATTAAATTCGTATTAGTATTAGAAAATGTGTTGTATTAGTTTTTATTTTACGAAGAAAATGTTTCCAATCGTAAAGTGTTTCTAATTAAATAAAAGAAAAAATTGCAAAAAGATGTATGTTTCCGTTGAAAATGACAAATATACAGATGAAATCTGCATGTATCGAATATTGTCTTAAATATTTCTTTATTAATTTTATCATATAATGTGACAAAAAAGCATTTTGGAGTTTTCAAATTTGTATATGGGTAATTTCACGTCAAATCGGACAAAAATCGACTTCGTATTTTTTAAAACAATCAAAACTCTTTTTACATAAAATATACATAAAATAAGGAGATACGTATTTTTACATTTGTTCGAAATATTTTTTTGCAGAAGTTATAAATAATACAATTTTCGTGAAAAATGAAGAAGTTGTCAACTTTAAAAATTAATATCTGTGATTATATTTGTCGTAGAAATATTTTTAAAAAAGCATTTTAAAGCTAAGAAGACAATCTTTATTATCAAATTAGTTTAAGTTCCAAAGAATTACTAATTTTAATTGTTTTAATTAGTTAAAGTATTTAATAATTTTTTTCAACAAAAATACATTTTTTTAAATTTTCAAAAAAATACTAATTTATTCTCCATTTTATTCTGAAATTGTATACAGTTTTTATTTTATGGAGAATCAATGCATTTTATTTCTTTTGTATATTTTTAATAAATTAGATGCCATGTCGCGCCGTATTCGCGTCACTAGCTCGATTAAACGGCGCATCGATGCCGTCGATTGTTTCATCACTATTATTTTTGGAGTTAATATAGAATTAAAAACATTAAAAAAAAATCAAATGCGCAGGGAAACAAAATTATAAACAAAAGCCAAGGAAGACACACATCAAAACATAGACGTACATAAAGGTAAACGTTTGACAACACGACACAAAAACTCTATAGACATTTCGAGATTCTCTGTCATATTTAAAAACTTATGATTGACTAACTCTCTCTTTCAAAGGTGTAAGTTTCTTTTTTATAAAGAGCTAATGGAAAAGAATCCATCTCATTTAAACAAAAACAAACGAATTTTTAATTGCAACGATATCAATATTCATCTATAAAAAGTATCAAATATATGGCTTCTTCATAAAAACTAATTTCCATTCAAAAAATGCTGTTTGTGGATTAATATCTCTAAAAACATCTTTATCTATAATAATAATTGTAATATTTGAAATTTAAGTTATTCTCTCTGCTGCATACGTAGGTATAGATTATCGAATATTTTAAATGCAAATAAGTTTCAACTTAACAATGATACACATTTCGAAGTAATAAATATTAAAGGCAATGTGTTTATTCAACTCATTATTATTAATATAAAAAATAATAGTAACAATCTGACTTTATTTATAATAATGACGAATAACGGATTAACTCTACCCCGTGCATATTTAATTAAATGCCTAATGTTTCTTTAATATATACACCAAATTTAAAAATGTATACAAACTTTTTGCTAACTATTTTACAGGTACCTAGTTATTATTCATCTGTTATATTAACCTAACAACGAAACAATATAGTCCAACATTAATCATACCACGAATTATCTTCGCATATCAAACCGCCAACGAAAATGATATATTAGTATAGGTTCAACAAAAAATCAACGCGCGATAGAATTTATAGATTTACTTCTTTAGTTATTCAGTTTTTTAACCATGAGCATATGTGGATGTATTTTGATAATTTACAAATAAGTATTGAAAGTTGAAATGTATAGCATTGCTGATAGAAAATATAGGCAAATAAAATTTCGACAAACACATATGCATCATGCCCAGAGCCACATTTACGCAGGGAAGCAAAATTATAAACAAAAGCCAAAGAAGACACATATTAAAATTTATTTATTTTATAATTTTTGCAAAAATGACCTTTATTATACAATGATTATCTCTTATTGTTAGTAAAAATTAATTGTTAATAAAGATTATATATAAATTGTCCAATGTTTAAGATTTTTTAAAAAGTAACGGCATTCAGAGATGAAAATAACGTTTAACTTAAAAAAAGGTTATTAATAAATTTAAATTTGAAAAATAATTAATTTTAAAGTAAAAATTAATTTGTTTTAAATTAAATAAGCTATATATGTTTCCATCCCATCAGATTCGCGCGTCTATCCATCACGTTGCACGAGACTGACCGCAGGACTTTGAACAGGGTGTCGCCATCTGACAGCGAAACTTGACATCACAGTAAGAAAGAACCGGACCCAGCGAACTCTTTCTTCTTCTATTAGACACGTGCGTCCCACGCGTCCACTACGCTGTACGTCTCGCGAGCAACTGATCCCGACATCACCGACCTGCGCCTGCGCAGTAGCCAACTTCACAGCCAAGAATGAAGCGGTCCCAACGATAGCATCTCTCTCTTTCTATTCTTTTCATCGGAGTGGTATATCCCATACGTCCATCAAGGTGCGCGTTTCGCGCGACACTGATTCTCGTGCGAGATATCGCGAGTGCGAGGCTGCGAGACTGATGATCACATGACCAGCCAAAGCGCGGACCAGTGGTCACGTGACTAATGGTCATGTGACTACCTCGAACGAGAATCAGTCTCGCGGAAACCGCGCAGTGTGATGGATGTGTAGAGTGTCGAAATGCACGAATTTTTAATGAAAGCGTATTTTGATCACAAAAGATTCTTGTGGAAAATTCTTTCTCGTTCGCATTTTCTGTTAAAAATTTATATATATATATAATATATAAGATATATAAATAGTCTATTTTGTATATATATTATATAAAATAGACTATTTCATTATATACATATATGTATATATTTAATATTGAGAGCATTCTTAATGTTTGCGCAATGCACGTATAAAAATTAGAATTATGCAAATTATAAATGCATAAAAATGTATTAATTATGCAATGCATAAAAATTCAATATTTATGTTATGCAATGTATAAAAATTATTATTGCAATCAATACATAAAAATATAGTAATTAATTATGCAGTGCATATAAATTCAATAAATATTGATTGCAATAATAATTTTTATGCGCGCGCGTTGCAATTTTTAAGATTTTATTGTCAAAGGATAATATTATTTATTCATATATGCGCGTAATGATATTCGGTTATATAGATTAAACAAAATGAGAAGAAATATATATAAAAACACATGCGTACTTAATTAAGGTAATAAATATTACATTGCGCAAAGCCTGCAATTATATATAATGCCACGTATGGAGATAAGCAATCGTTGCAAGCTGATAATTAAAAATTCAATAATACACGATGACATTATTGATGTTTCGATCGAGGTTCTCGTTACATTTACCAGTTTATCAGCGGGAGCTTTTTATTCTATTTATTCTCATATATATCAATATATTTTATCGGCTCGAATGACATTCGATATTAAGCTTTTATAATAGCAGCGCTTTATTTTATATACATAAAAAAAGAATTAAAATTTTGTTTGCAAAAAAGTCGCGCGTTAAGGGATTAAGCTAGATTTAAACAAGAATTGTATCTCTTTGTTTTCTTCTTATTATTTATTATTATTTATTTATAATTATCAGGATTTCATTTACGATTATCTGAATCTAAAATATTCTAAAGTAGTTAATTTTATTTCTAAATGACTGATTTCTTTTTATAGAGGTAATATTAATTATAAATAAATTAACACATATACATTAATTATAATTAAAGTTATTATCTCAGAAGGATGCAAAAATCTATAATTGCGTTAGATTTAATAGCTTAAGATTTCTAAACGATCGCACAAAATGTCATTTTACGACGTGAAAATCGCAGACATTTGTCCTTCTACATCAACAATATATAGGATGACACATATAATAATAATGTCAATAACAATAATTGCATATCGTTACATTAGCAATTTCAAATAACTTCCATTAGAATTGCAATCACAATAATTAATATTATTACACGACATGAAGGAAGATCAAAAGATAAAGTTAGATCTATTTTCCCTCTTGATGCTTTGGTATTAATTATTTATCTTAAAAATAAAATAAATAATTTGACTTCTGAAGTAAAATAAATATGCTTTTTCAAACGTAAATGTTTTTTCTATTTCTCTCGATCTTAAAATATACACAAAAATTGTCGACACTTATTTCATAAAAATTATATCCTTAACTCGAATCTTGCAAAAGATTCTTAAATAAAAGCATCAACAAGATTAATTTTTAAAAACCGACATTTTTATGAAAGTAAGTATGATTGAAGAAAATAGCGTATTATTATATATAAATCTTTGCATTTTATAATAAAATATTAATTTAATAAGGTAAAAGATCTCTATATTTTTTATAATAAAATAATTATCATCTCAAGTGATCTTAACTTAAAATAAAATGATCTTAAATATAAAACAATTTATATAATTATATAATATATATTAATTTATATAATTATATAATTGTCTTTGATACAATTAAAACGATTAATGATATTCTTAATTATTTCCGAGACTCGAACTAGTAGAGAAAATTAATTTAGGGTCGACGGACCTCGATAGTATCTCTCGTTGATAAATAAGTGTCGATAAATATAAAGAATACGCAAATGGTCGTGGAACGCTATTTTTCAAGCGGGCCTGAGAGCGCCGACCATGTCGCCCAGCAGTCGCTCCACGCTGACGTCACCGACGGTCGGTTTGAACAATAGTTCGTGAAGGGTAGCGCGACATAACGCGCGCGCCGGGGGTAAAAGCAGTAGCAACCGACCTACCCTACGCGCATCCCTTTCGCAGAACACCGCCACCGTTTGTTCCTGCAACGCCGACACTCGTCCCGGCTCGCACAGATTCCGTGATTCTACAAACGATAAAGAAGCATTTTTCAATTTTTTTATTTTATTTTTATTTTATTTTTATTTTTTATTTTTTAATAAAATTTTATGTCAAAAAAAATAAATATAATAAACATTTTTTATTATATTTAATTTTCTTAAAAATTTATTTTTTTCTTAAAAAAAATAAATTTTAAAGAAAATTAAATAATAAAGAAAATTGTAAGAAAATTTTTAAGAAAAAAATAAATTAGTTTTTTTTTAAAGATTAATTGCACAATTCGCCAGCAATATCTTAGCAAACAAGGAAAATTTATATGGACAAGTGTAATTAAGTAATATGGAAATTATTAAATTTGACCACTGTATTGCGATATTGAAATCCAAAAATGAATATGCTTATATAATATTAATAAATAATGCGAGATTGATAGGAAGAAAACACGGTTATAATTAAATATTTGTGAATACAAAATGATGATTATATTTTTACACATCTCCGTCTTTTATTATTTCATTAATTCTTAAAACAAATAAAATGACTAAAATAAAAATAATTTTGCATAATATATATTTTTCTCAAAATTTTAATTACAGAACATTTAACGAAAAATTTTGACACTCCCAAAAATGGAAAGCAACATTAGAGTAAAACATTTCAAAATTGGTACAAGTTTCTTAAATCGATATATCCTGTATTTTTCAACAATTAAATGCAGCACATAATTTCTTTGATAATATTGCATCTATATATTTATAAAAAATTTTAAATATATCTTACACTTTTTTAGAAAAATTAATTAGTATTTTGACATATATAATTTAACATTTTGTTTTATAATTCAACAAACATAAGTAAATATTATTGATAAATTTTATATACATATATATATATACTTGTATGAAAATGCTTTGCATCAAAATTTTAATTTTAAAAGAAAATATATACATGTATTGTATATTCTTAAAAATTATTATAATTGCATATTATTTTTACATAAATAATAGAAAAGTGATTTTTTTATTTTTTAAATTCAATAAATTTGTATCATTCCATAATTTTGCAGCGCTATTTATAATTTTATCATGTTTCTGTGATTTTTCAAATACAACAAATTTAGGAATCAATTTTTTTTACAGACTTTTTTTCACTTTTATAAAAATGCTTCAAACAGTTTAAAACAATTTTATTTAAAACATATTATGAAACGTGATACTAATGATGAATTTGATAAAAAAATGAACAGTGTCTAAATAAATGTAGCCATCACTTTTCATTTCAAATGTTTAATTTTGACATTGAATTTTGAAGAGCTTGAAAACTAAATAGAAAAAATCGGAGTAAGTTAAAAAACTCACCAGCCTTGAATAGGACTATAGCCTTCAAGCACGCGTACTCTGAATGATCCACCCTTAACGCGGCGCATTTTGCTAAAAGTTCTCTCAGCCTCCTCGCTTTGTCGAGTAAAATTTCTCTTCGTTCCATCGGCAGATCTACAGGAACCAAGGTGGTCTCATCCACGGGAAAACTCCACTGTGCTGCCGTCAACACAAACAACTCGCTCCACGACTCCTCCAGAAGGATAGTTTGATCTCTATAAGGAAGCTTGCGTGACAAAAAAGATGGTATAATTATTTTTTATTTTTCACGAAAATTTTTATTATGTATTTTATTTTATTTTAGAATTTTTTTTATATATTATTTTATATCGCATATTTTTTGTATAAAAAAATATGTTTAAAAAATTTACAAGAAGAGAGAAAGGAGCTTACTTGTAGAAAGGAATGTATACTTCTCGCCCATCTAACAGCAAAAAAAAGTAACTTTGCTGCAAATTCATAGATATTTTCAGTTGGCAGGAGTGATAAACCTTGCATCGTGTATTCTGATGAAACGGAAGTGATGACTGGCGGCGCCAGACGTGTATTTACTAGTTCCTCTACGATAAATAGAAAATGATTACATATGTCGATATAAAATTGTCATATTTAAAATTTAAATTTATAATATATATATATAAAACATAATTTTGCAACAAAGGATATGCTAAATGCTAAATTATGACACGATTCCAATAACTTTGATGGTTTTTCTTGTTTCCTCTAATAGAGCTTTATATTAACATTTTAAAATATTTTTAAAAAATATTTTCGTATGGCAAAATTATTGAAAATACATATATATGTCTTTATAATATATTTTTATATGTATATCCCATACAGTACAAAATATTTTTAAAATCTTTTAAAAATATTTCTTAAAAGATACAATAATTCTCGAAAATATTTTTAAATGTTTCTACGTCCGCTTTTTCATGTTTAAAAAATATTTTCAGAAATATTTTTGAATATAGATTTAAACTAATATTTCAAAAAATATACATAAAATATTTAAGAAAATATTATCTGAGCGATAAAGAAGAACATTTTCAAAAGTTTTTTAAAATATTCTAAAAAATGTTATCACAAAAAATTTTTAATTATTTTAAAATATTCCTAAAATCATTTAAAATGTTTTTATGCAATAATTTATAGAAATATTTAGAAATATTTTTTTGAAAACATTCATAATATTTTGTGCTGTATAGGATATTACATATGATAATGTAATATATGTATATTATTAGAGCAATATCAATAATTATAATTTTGTTATTTTTGCGAAAATGTTTTTTGTCTTATAATAATATAATATATTTTATATTTATTATACATACATATATTATTTATAAATATTTCGCACATAACACACAACAAACCTTTCGATTCAATTCTGATGTCGACAGTAGCTGCTTCCTCGGAGCTGGTAACTTCATCCTCTTTGGCAGTAGTCATAGACAAGGATTCCGGAGACGGTCGTGGTAAGAAATGTGCTGTTAAAATAACGCGATATTTTATTACGGAAAAAAATATATCGATTCGCGATGATTATTCATATATTATTTACCAACTGACGGGGTGAATGTTGACACCGTAGGCTTGAAAGGGAACAATGCGGGATATAAAAGGGGATGATAAGTAGTACCCGCCGGATGGTAGACGTTAGAAATTCCTGCATAAAGTCCCGAAGGAGTCCTTCTCGCTACCGTAACAAGAGAAGACGTGCTTCTCGGTGCTCTCTCGTGTTGTACGGCTAAAAAAGTGAAAAAATGCCATTAAAAATTCAATTAACATTCATCTCGAAAGTCTATCAAATCGAATTAATATTGATAACATTTTCTATATTTTTGTAAAAAATAGTATATAATATAGAGTATTCAAATATATTGTTTCCAAAAATATAAACATTCTCAAAATCTTATTTTAAGACTTGAAAATTATTTGACAAGTGTTGACAATTTTGAAGATTTTTAAAAAATTTGAAATTTGAATAACTTTTTGCGATTATTAAAGATTTTTAAAATTTTATATAAGTTTCATGAAATTCTAGATAAAAAGTCTAAACAATTTTTGATAAGTTTTAAACATTTTGGCTTTTGATTTGTTCTTTTAGACCTGTTAAAAATCTCTAATAATTTTTGACAATTTCTTACGACTTTTGTAGAATTTTAAAACTTCTATAAATAGTAATTTTTTTAACAACTTCTAAAGAATTTTTTTTGGAAAAAAGAGAGATAGAGAGAAGTTTTATGACTTTTTAATAACTTTGATTAACTTTGATTATATTTTAAAGCTTGTTAATTTTTAATAAGTTATGACTTTCTTTATAATTTTTGTGAAATTTTTGGAATTTATATAAATCTTGAATGTTTTAAAGAAGTTTGATGAAGAATTTTCAAGACACGAATGTTTAATTTTTTTCTGTTGTTTCTAAAAATTTTTTTTTGGAAATTTTAAGTTAATTTTGCATAAATATTCTTGAATTATTAGATTTGCATATGGCATATATATTTGAATGCAAATCACTTTATTTTGATTAAGCATTTTATATCTTTAATGAATATTACGTATCTACTAAAAACCCGAATTCTTTTCTAAATACCTCGCTATTTTATAAAACAATAATAATAATAATAATAATAATAATAATAATAATAATAATAAAACTTCAAGTTTTTAATAATAAAATTTGTCAAATTTTATAATAAATTTATAAATTTATTATAAATTTTAACTTTTTTCCTAATTGTAAGTTAAATCTTTTTATCTCTGAATACTATTATTTTTTTATAAGTTATAAACGTAATATTTTAAAATTAAAGTATTATTATAATTTTTATGTTTATATTTGTCATTAATTGTAATAAACAAAAAATATATTTTTCTATAAAAATCAAAATTTCTTTGTTATTTGTTATTATATATTTTAAAAGAATTAACAAACAAAATTCTAATTTAATAATAAATAATAATATTTTTACAAATTCACTTTTGCTCTAACTTTAGTTAATTTAATCTCTCAACTTAACTTGAACTGAGTTAATTTTTTGTTCGTGCAACTAAATTAATTTTATAAACAACTAACTTTAACTTAACTTCGTTTCAAAAAATCATTAACTTATCCAACCCTGATATTATATTAAAAATACATAGATAAATAAAATTGATCGATGGATAAAAAATTATTTAGAATTGAAAACTGAGCAGTCTCCGAGTCTTTCCTTGAATTTCCAAAAACAACCAACAATTCCAAATAATTGCGTTTTTTGTAGGAAGAAGGACGAAAAGAGGGAAAGATCGCAGTGGCTCTTTAACAATTTTCCCGCTTCTCCCTTCACTAATTGATATCTCAGCAATCAAGTGTTTGGATTATCGCTCGACGCGATAAGGGGACCGAAGGTGTTTACAAAAGCTGTGAACGCCAGGCTGCTTCTGACACCGCTTGCTATCGGATCCTACCGTTCGGTAAGCAAAAATATAGAATTTCATATGGATGGAGATATGGATGTGTGTGTGCGATGTAGACATGCCTCCCCATTTCCAAACTGTTTCCCATCCGCCGAGCAAACGTCACTGTGCATTGTAATATGCGACACTTCGCTCTTTCTCTCGCACTTTTTATGGAGTGTCTCTGAAAGAGCTCTCCGTTGCGTCGCAGAACATCTTTCGAATGTATATAGAACGAAAAGCTCATCTTATATGTAATACAGCATTGGCGATATCGCTCTTAATATATCAATGAAAATATTATATTCTATTCAAATAGTCTATAAAATAGTTTTAAAAAATACAAAAATATGATATTCTATAAAATAGTCTATAAAATAATTTTAAAAAATACAAAAATACGATGTTTTATAAAATAGTCTATAAAATAGTTCTAAAAAATATGATATTCTATAAAATAGTCTATAAAATAATTTTAAAAAATACAAAAATACAATGTTCTATAAAATAGTCTATAAAATAGTTCTAATAAATATAAAAATATAATATTCTATAAAATAGTCTATAAAATAGTTCTAAAAAATATGATATTCTATTCAAATAGTGTATAAAATAGTTTTAAAAAATACAAAAAAATGATATTCTATAAAGTAGTCTATAAAATAATTTTAAAAAATACAAAAATACAATGTTCTATAAAATAGTCTATAAAATAGTTTTAAAAAATACAAAAAAATGATATTCTATAAAATAGTCTATAAAATAATTTTAAAAAAATACAAAAATACGATGTTTTATAAAATAGTCTATAAAATAGTTCTAAAAAATATGATATTCTATTCAAATAGTCTATAAAATAGTTCTAAGAAATACAAAAAAATGATATTCTATAAAATAGTCTATAAAATAGTTTTTAAAAATACAAAAAAATATTAATTGAACCATACCATCTCGTTTCATGTTGACCTGAAGACATTTTGTGAAGCGACAAGCTTGGCATTGATTGCGTCTGGACACGTCCACGATGCAACGTCCGTTCTCTTTACACACGTAGTCCAAATTCCTGTGCACAAATAATAATAGAAAATAATCTCTAATCCCCAATTTACACTTTTTAATATTTGTATAATTTCGCAAAAATAATTTTACGCATAATGAGCGTAAAAATAATATCGTAAATTTTTAATATAGTTCCTGTATAACTATCTGTCTCAAAATTTCTATCATTTTCTTTGATTTTGAAGATCTAGAATAATTAAAATGTTAACAATTCTTAATCATTTAAGAAGTTACACATTTGTTATATATATATATATATACCCATATAGCACAAAATATTTTTAAAATATTTTTAAAATGTTTCTATGTCCGCTTTTTTCTATTTAAAAAATATCTTTGAATATAGATTTAAACTAATCTTTTAAAAATATATATCAAATATTTAAGAAAATATTATCTGAGCGATAAAGAAGAACATTTTTTTAAATATTTTGAAAGGTTTTTTAAAATATTACAAAAAATGTTATTAAAAAAATTTTTTAATAATTTTAAAATATTCCTAAAACCATTTTAAAATGTTTTTATGCAATATTTTATAGAAATATTTAGAAATCTTTTTTGAAAACATTTATAATATTTTGTGCTGTTTGGGTATATTTTTTCAATTAAAATAATGTATTATGTGTATATCAAATATTTATACTAAATATTTCTGTATAAATAAATTATATTTTGGAATACCAGCTTTTTACAGAAATACAAACATTATTACAGTGAAAATAAGATAAAAAAATGAAGAGATGGATCGATAGGAGAAAGATTACTTTGATGTTTATTTAAGCTTGTGCTTAATTGAGCAAAAATTTAATTACCTCGCGTACCTGCGGATTGACCGCTTGAAGAAGCCTCGACATCCGTCGCAGCTCGGAACGCCATAATGTTTTCCGGAAGCTTTGTCTCCGCAGACCTTGCACAACGTTTCTCCACGTCCGTTTTCCTCCATTTTTGATACCCTGAAAATTTCCAAGAAAACTGACTTTATTATTAAAATTAGTATATATTAAATCAATATTAACATATTAAATCGCATGTGAAAATAATTTTCATCTTAATTTAAAAATATTTTTTAAAAGATAAAATAATTCTCGAAAATATTTTTAAAATAATTCTATGTCTTTTTTATGTTTAAAAAATATGTATCAAATATTTAAGAAAATATTATTTGAGCGATAAAGAAGAACCTTTTTAAAAAATATTTTTAAAAGTTTTTTAAAATATTCTAAAAAATGTTATTACAAAAAACTTTTAAATAATTTTAAAATATTCCTAAAATCATTTTAAAATATTTTTATGCAATATTTTATAGAAAAATTTCGAAATATTTTTTGAAAACATTTATAATATTTTGTGCTGCATGGGCAGAGAGCATTGCACTTCAAGCTTTAAAAAGTGACGACGGCGAAGACGATAATATAATCCAACGATCGAAGTAGGATATACTCGGCAAGTAAATTGCGCAATGAGTCACCGAGGGGGCAGCAACTCCGACGAGTACCTCTGCATTATGCATATCGCGTAATGATAAAAAGTGCATTACAAGCAACGCAGAAAAGCGCCAAGACGCCTTTCCTCATTATCCATTATATGGGATTTACATACGGAGGAACATCGACTAAGCTGCTATAGTCGCGCTTTGGAGGAGACTCTCTGCATATTTTACGAAACGTAACACGATAGATAGCTGGCGGGTCGCTAAACATCGCAAGTTCGATTTTGCGTCGGCCATTTGCGGTGACTTTAAGCTCGCCGCGTAAATGATATCGAAGAACCGATTATTTCGACCGATCGATATTTTATGTCGTCTGAGTTGTCTGTTTTGCTATTTTAATGAACCGTCTCTATTACGTGTAATGTGACACTTTGCTCAATTTAACGATCGAGCGTCTGAATAGTACAATTTCTGATATGTTATTATTAACAATATTATATATTTTTTCATTTTTAGATTTTGTATTTTATATATTTTATATTTTATATATTTTATATTTAAATATTACATTATATTATTTAATTATATTTTTTATAAGTTATTACATATTAATATATTTTTAATTGAACACATTTGGATTAGTATAATATATCATTGTTTATTCATATGTAAAAATTGTGAGATTTAGATACTAAGACTTGATAACATTTTTCTAGATAGTTAATATGATTAAGTGTTTTCTATTAATTTTAATCTAATAATAATTATTAATTTACGAGTTTAAAAAAATTCAATTTCTATATCATACTATAGAGCAAAAATTCAGCTTTAAGAATCTATTCTTAAAATTGCTGTGTGATGATTTTTACCGGAGTTATGAACAATTAAAGTGAAAATGACATTTTCTCTTCAATTTGCGATAACTTAATAAGGAAAGATCAAAATTAAAATTTTAAAAAACGATTTTGCAGGGAAATCTTCAGGCTTGAACGTGAAAATGTCAAAAAATTTTTTCAAATCTTTTTGTGTATACGACATATCTACAAAGTGAGAAAAAATTTTCCTGTGACCTTTCATAGGTAGAGATTTCAAGCTTTAAAATCCTTTTTTTTTAAATTATCATTTCTTGTAACAAAGTAAATATGAAAATATAAAACATTAACTAATCGAACTAGACGTAACTAAAATACCAAATATAAAAATAATGTGTAACAAACAATATATACAATGTATTGCCATTTAAATTATCTCATATTTAAAAAATTCTGGAAAATTATTCTATGTATTTTTTACGAAGAATAGTCCTTTCTGTAAGGAAGAATCTCTCTTTATAAAAAAATCTTTTTCGTAAATAAGTAGTACCGTAAATTTTGACTAGTACTAATATTTCTGATCACATTAATATACTTTATCCTGTTCAAAATAGTCCGAATATTGGGACTAAAACCATTCTAAATAATCAAAAATATTCAACATATCTTCATAGAATAAATAAATATTGTATTATATACGCATTACGTTATCTTATCGACCTGTTCAAAATTATCTTGATCGAATATATCAGCAAAGTCATGAATACAAGAATAGAAACAGTATCGTGAATTATATAAAGGAGGCTATATTGAAAACTGAGAGACGTCATATAATTTCTCCTTTATTTATTACGATTGAAAAATAATATATCGACATAATAATGCACAGGATCAACAGGATCTGTTTTACCGACTTTAAGTTAGGTTAGGTTCACTTTTTATTGAATACACAGATTGAAAAATCCTCCACAATGAAAGTATATTATTCTTCCGTATAATTCTTTCACGTCATCTCTATTGGGAGCGTCATATATTGTGCACAAATAAACTGCAGAACTTTTGTATTAAATAAGTATTGTTATGAGCTGATGCAAGAAGCCGATAAAAACTGTAATTTTTTAACTTTTATTGTTTTTTATACGAAATTACAGCGCTCTCCGTTCATTATTATCAGTACTCAAATTGTGGAAAAGAATTTTTCAATCTGTATAGCCAATAAAAAAAGCCCTTGAACTCAAAGTCGGTAAAACAGTCATGATCAGCATCGCCTGAAAGAATGGAAAAAAAGTACCGAGGACGATACTTCTCTCCACTTTCTATACAAGGTTCAGACGTTTATCGCCACGTCTAAATAAAGTTCTAGCGAATTCGGGGGAGGAAAAAAAGGAACGGGTTGTCCTCGCGCGCACACGGCAGGGTCACAAAGTCGAAGAGCCAGGAGGTCGCGTGTCCTCCAGGCGACCCCTCGACGAGGCGGCGTCGGACTCTCTTTCTCTCTCTCTTCCGTGACTTGATATGTACAATATATACCATCCCCTCTCGGAGGTCCTCCGCCCTCATTCACCTCCTTCCCAACCACCCTAGCCACCCGTCAGGGACTCGATGGGCGCCCAAGCGGCCACCTGTCAGTTTCCCAGGCTCAATAATGCAGCGTAGCCGACGTGGAAAAGCATCGCCCGCAACCTAGAGGTAGTCCTTACGGAGATGATGCTACAATTTTACCGCACCCTCGAGGCACACGCAGACAGATCCCGGGAGTCTATATGTTTCGCTCGTAAGTTCTCTCTTTCCTTCAGGCTTCTGACTTCTTGATATGGTTCACCCTCTCTCTCTCTCGCTTCAACGAAGGAAACGCACCTCTCGGCCTGTCATAACATTTTTATTGGCCGATGATCGCCGGCTTTCGCGACAACGACGTTGGTCAATCTGGCTCTCTTTCTCTCGATATAGGAAAAACCAATTTTACGAATAGATAATAAAAGATGTATAAATGATTTCGTACACTGAAAATGAATTTATTGAACTCAAATAAATATTTATTTTAAATTACTATTTGAAACTAATAATATTGATTTGATGTGAAAAATATTTATTTGATAAAAGAAAATTCTTTTCAAAACAGATATATATTTATTTGTTTCGAATAAATGATTTGTTAGGCAGTATTGAAATAAATATTTATTAATTTTATTTTTTTTTTTTTTCAGTGTATGACAAAAAATTTCTTATTATGCAAGTATAAATTACATAAGAGTTATATGGGGTTGAAAATTAATTAAATTTTTTTTTAAGAATAATATTTTTTCACAAGAAAGGCATATTCTTGCGCAGTTCAATTAAATCTTCTTCTTTTTACAATTCAATACTGATTCAAGAAAGGAGAAAAATCAGATAATTAAGGCTCATAGAGCGAACAATTAGCTAGGATTGATGAAAGAAGAAAAAGAGCGAAGAACAAAGGAAATTATTTTTATTTTTTCTCTCTCTTTATGATATCACCTCGGCATATTGTAACCATAGACGGCAATTACATAGGGCGTATTATTTAACCTTGTTTGCACGAACACGGGTGTCGCTCGCGCACGCATGTAACATATGTCGCGTTACATCAAGAGTCGCGACTTTGGGGGAGTCAATCGAACAGACAGATTTTTCATCCCCTCCAAAGATAAAAAAAGAGAGAACAAAGAAAAAATAAAATAGAAAATTATACTTAAATATTTTTTTCTTAATCAACTTTGAGTGTGTAAACATGCAGGCTTTGAGAAAAGTAGTTAACTCAAAAGAAAAAAAAAACTAAAATAAAATTTGATCTTTTATGAAATTAAATATCTTCTCTATTCTATTTTATTTTTTTATACTTTTGTTATTTAATTTATATAAATTATTCTATAAATATTATCGAGAAATAAAAGTTGTATAAGTATCAATTAAAACATCTTGTATATATAGTAGGTAGACATGTAATATCTTTGAAAAAATTAATTATTATATATCTAAAATAAAATTTGATCTTCTATAAAATTAAATATCTTCTCTATTCTATTTTATTTTTTTATATTTCATCGTTTAATTTATACAAATTAATATATAAATATTATTCGAGAAATAAAAAAATGTATAAATGTAAATTAAAAATCTTACAAAACATTTTTCAACAAATATAGACAAATAACTAAATAAATTTAAAATTAAAATTAAAATTACATTAAAATTTTAAAAAATTAATTAATTAAAAATCGTGCTAAATTGAAGAAATAAATACAAAATAAATATAAAAAAAATATTTAATAGCACGTGACATTTCACAAATGTGTGACAAGAGAGTCGCATTTGAAACTGACTGTCGAAAAGTAGTGATGGAAAACTTTTTTCCATAAGCATCAATGGGCATTGCACTCCCGGGAAGACAATTTGGCCCATCGATCATGCAAAGCTCGACAAGCGCGGCGCAGTTTGCGCTTCGCGAACACAATTCGCGTCTAATGTCGATTCGATGACTTTTAGATAGTTTTCGACGATGCGACGCGTCGCAAGATGTTGGCAACACGCTGCGGGACGCATGCAAATTTTTTTCCGCGTCACGTCACGTGCGTCCTTTCGCATAAAAAATGCTGATCGATCGTCGACCGCGCGATATATCTATTATATATCATAATATAGCGAAAATAGCCTTGCGTAATTTTGGGGCAGAGGAAAAAACGCGAAATTT